GTTAATCCCATAAATCCCACAGCTCATTCCGTAAATCCCGTGAATCCCATAAATCCTGTTAATCCCATAAATCCCACAGCTCATTCCGTAAATCCCGTGAATCCCATAAATCTCATTATAAATCCTGTAAATCCTGTTAATCCCATAAATCCCACAGCTCATTCCGTAAATCCCATGAATCCCATAAACCCCGTACGTCGCATCGATAACTCCCAGAAATCCCGAAAATCCCACAGATCCCGTGAATCCTTTAACTCCCGTAAACCCCGTGAGTCCCCCGAATCCCGGAGAGGAATCCACAGATCCCGTGAAGAGATGCCCGAGGAAAGGCTGGGGTTCCCGCGCAGGGACGCGCGATCCCGGCGGGAATTCCGGCGGCTCCGTACCTGTAGACCATCCCGTGGCAGACGATGACGGAGCCGTCGTCGGAGCCGGAGGCGAAGAGCGGGAAGCGCCGGTGGAACGCCACCGCGCGCACGGCGCGGCCGTGGTGCCTGCGGGACACCGCCGCTCAGCCCCGGAACGCCGGGAGAACAGCGGGAAAACGGGGAAAAGAACGGGGGAAAACGGGGAAACAGCGGGGAGAAAACGGGGAAACAACGGGGAAACAGCGGGGAAAAACGGGGAAACAGCGGGGAAATAAACGGGGAAACAGCGGGGGAATAAACGGGGAAACAGTGGGGAGAAAACGGGGAAACAATGGGGGAATAAACGGGGGAAAAACGGGGAAACAGCGGGGAGAAAACGGGGAAACAGCGGGGAAACAGCGGGGAAACAGCGGGGAAAAACGGGGAAAAGAATGGGGGAAAACGGGGAAACAGCGGGGAGAAAACGGGGAAACAACGGGGAAACAGCGGGGAAACAGCGGGAAAAACGGGGAAAAACGGGGAAAAACGGGGAAACAGCGGGGAAACAACGGGGGAAAATGGGGAAACAGCGGGGGAAAAACAGGGAAACAGCGGGGAAACAACGGGGGAAAAACGGGGAAAAGAACGGGGAAAAACGGGGAAACAGCGGGGAAACAACGGGGAAACAGCGGGGAAACAGCGGGGGAAAACGGGGAAACAGCGGGGAAACAGCGGGGAAACAGCAGGGGAAAACGGGGGAACAGCGGGGAAACAGCGGAGTCAGAGCTGGGAAAATGGGAATCAGAGCCCATGGAAACACCGGGAAAAAAACGGGGAAACACCGGGAAAACACCAGGAAAAACTGGAGTCAGAGCCGGGAAAACACCAGGGAAACACCAGGAAAAACGGGAATCAGAGCCTGGGAAAACGGGATAAACACTGGGAAAATGGGAATCAGCACTGGAAAAACTGGGAAAACCACTGGGAAGAACAGGGATAACCACTGGGAAAAACGGGATAACCACCAGGAAAACAGGGATAAGCACCCAGGATAACGGGAAAACAGCCCAGGAAAATGGGGATAACCACCGGGAATAAAACCAGGATGACCACCGGGAAAAACATGGGTAATGACCCAGGAAAGACTGGGATAACCACTCAGGAAAAACTGGGATAATGACACGGGATTATGGGAGGTAACGAGGGAAAATGTGGGATAACAACCTGGGATTAAAGGGGAGAACAACCTGGGAAAATCTGGGGTAACAGCCCAAGAAAAACCGGGATAAGAACTTGGGAAAATTTGGGATAACAACCTGGGATAATGTCAGATGACAACCTGGGATAATTTGGGATAATGACCTGGGATAATTTGGGATAACAACCTGGGAAAGACCAGGACAGAAACCCGGGAAAACCCAGGATAACCACCCGGGCTAACGAGGGGACACCGGGAACGACCCCGGCAGATCCCAGTGGATCCTGGGAGAGCCGGGACACCGGGAATGCCACCGGGACAACCCCGGTGGATCCCAATGGATCCCGGGAGAGCTGGGACACCGGGAACGCCCTCGGCAGATCCCGGTGGATCCTGGGAGAGCCGGGACACCGGGAATGACCCCAGCAGATCCCAGTGAATCCCGGGAGAGCCGGGACACCGGGAATGACCCCAGCAGATCCCGGTGGATCCCGGGAGAGCCGGGACACCGGGAACGACCCCGGCGGATCCCGGCAGATCCCGGGAGAGCCGGGACACCGGGAACTACCCCGGCAGATCCCGGTGAATCCCGGTGGACCCCGGTGGATCCCGGTGGATCCCGGTGGATCCCGGTCGGCCGCGGGAGCGGCGGAACTCACCGCAGCAGCCGGTAGGGCCGCGTGGACAGGTCCAGGTCAAACCAGGCCAGCTTGCTGTCGTAGCTCCCGCAGATGACGTTGTCCCCTGGGGAGAAAAGCCGGGA